GAATTGGGTTTTATTAAGTGATGCTTTTACACAAGTTGAACGTCCTTCAGGATACTTTAAATGACTGTTGAATGTAGATTACAGACCCTTAGTGCCTTGAAATATCCTTTTGCCTTCAGCTGCTTGTCTTAACAGAACTTGAAATGTTACATTTTTCTAAGAAAACTATAAAATGAACACAGTTTTTCTGTGTTAGAAAAAGTTACACTGGTCACTTTTGTCTCATTTGAAAATGTAGCTTTTCCTGAGGGCTTGGGACTGTAGCCAGGCAGTCTGGGAGGGTCATTATGGGGGGAAGGTCTACAGGGCCCCGATGGCTTTTATTCTAAGCTTTACTCTGAGAAGTAGAAGACGCTGCTTATAATTGTGTGGGTGGGAAGATGGGCTAGTAAAATGGGAATTGAGGAAAGATAGACTTATTTACACTGTAGACTTGAGTTCCATTGTGTGTGAAAACCATAGGCTCTGTTGTTATGTGTGATAAACCTGTCCTGCTGTGGCTTTCAGGTAAGATTCTAAAAAAAGAAAACCAACCAAACAAAATCCCAGAAGCAAACAAACAAACAAATAAGCAAATAAATTTCAACAGGACTCATTTACAGAAGAAAATGAGTATGTTAGCTTTGTCAGAATTCTAGTGTTAGGAAGATAGGTATTTTCCTTAAGCAAGTTCATTTTCAAAGTTTATATCTGTTATTTTACAACTGCATTTCTCTTGACAAGACCTGCTGCTGTGTTGATTCTTCAGTAACCAAGAACCCTGTTGACTTTGCTCTAACCTCCAGAAGCATGCCATTTGTATTTTTAAAACCCAAGCAGTTTTCTCCCAACTTTGATCACTTCAAACGTAAGCAGATGCTTCCTTTACTTCACTGCACAAGCACTACAGTGATCTCTTGGTGTACCTAAACCAAGCACATGGTAAGTGCCATAGAAGTGTTGTGCATTCTTTTTACAGGCTTTACATATAATAGGGCACACGAATAGGAATTGGCCTGTTCTTGTTACTAGATAGCAAACAAGAAAGAGTAGGCAGAAATTGCTGGGGCTTGTTATGTTCCAGAACCTTTATGTGATTGGGTTTTTTCCGCTCTTTAGAACTTTACAGTGACAGCATAGATCCCTGAATAGGACATTTAAATGCTCAGGGCTTTTTTTACCTAGACCAATGGACCACCGAGTGAAAATCACTGCTTTTAATGCTATGGGGTTTTGGTGTTGGGACAGTCAGTTATATCTAGGGAGGCCTTCCCAGATACTGTACATTGGAAATACTCATCTAGCTGACCTGCCATGTGTTTTACTGTGGAAAATTTGGTACATTTGGGAGCTCCAGGAAGCAGAGCAAGGCATGAGTAACACTCATCTTACAGTGCCTCAAGGATACCTATTTTGAGCAATAAATCAGAGGTGATGCTAAAAACAGACCCCTCTCCTGACTGAGAAGGAAGAAGAGTGTTTGTATCTGGTTCAGGAGGGTATGAGGGGGTTCACGGACCTGCAGTGCCGAAGCATCGCCTCGCTGGCTTCACGCTGGGGCTCTCAGCAAAATCTCACCCAGACGGGTGCGATGCTCCATGCGGCTGGTTTTGCTTTGTTTTTTTAGATGCTCGGGTCCTGCTGTGCCCGAGGTTTTGGTGGCAGCTCCCCGGGATGACGCCTGGCCCGCCCAGGGCCGGTGCCTCCCTCAGCGCTGGCGGGCCCGGCTCCGGCGGAGCGGGGGAAGAGGAAGACATGGCGCCTGTCCTGAGGCACTGCGCGGGACAGGCACGGCTCCCGCCCGGCATGAGCCCCCCTCTCCCCGGACGGGCCCCGGCTTTAATTAGCCATGGCCCAGAGCGGCTTTCCCCGGCCATCTGTAGCCCCGGTCACCGACCTAATCGCGGGGATAAGCTGCTTACGGAGCCCCAGCTGGAGCAGGCCGAGGGTGGCTGTGGCCGCGAAGGAAGCGCGTGGGGCCGGTCCCCGGGGCCCAGCAGCGCAGCCGGTGCCTCTCGGGCTGGGTGAGTGCAGCGCTCGGGGGCAGCGGAGCCTGGGCCGTGGGCGAGGAGCTTCTCGCTTCTCGCTGCCGCTGCTGCAGCCTGGGACAGCGGCGGGTGTGTGGATGGCAGCCCTGGGGAGGGAAGACACCTGTGCGTGCCTGATGGTTTGGTTTGGAGCGCTGAGCAGTGTTTGGGAAGAACCCGCTTTCTAAGGCAGATGGAGTGTGGTCTCGGAGTAATCACTGGCCCCTGCTTGGAATATGAAATGGATCAGCCTTGGTCTGCAGGGATGGGGAAAAAAGCTCTGGGTGTGCGGCCAAATGTGTTTATTATGGGTCTGGCGTTGTTACCGTATTGCTGAAATGGCATTTGCTTGAAAGAGCTTGATTTACCTTTCATGAACTCTGCTATTTATTTCCTTTTGCCTATAACAACATAAATAACTTGATCATCTTAATTTTTATTTGCTTAATTTAATTTGTTTTGGGTTTTAATGCGTTAGCGAGTTGCTGCAAAGTGTGTATATTGTAAGCATGCATTAAATGTTTTAGTTGGAATCATAAAAACTAATATAAAATCCATTGGTCATGGATTTTGCAGTTCACAGAACGTGCAGTTTGCCTTGAGTATCTCTTTTGGCCTCAGAAGAAGTTTAAAAAAATCTTTATAAAATCTTGTTGTGAAATTAACCCTACTGCTTAAAAGTTGTTAAAGTCCTGAGCAGTAATTTCAGAAGGCAGATAAACATGTTTTTGAAAGGATGCTATTTCTTCCAGATCTCAATGAGACTGAAATTAGGAATGAGTGAGGTGAAGGACACCGCCTGAAATAACCATGGTGATGTGTTGAGAACTCGGTACCTAGCAAAAAGAACTGAAATGGAGAGCTAAAAAAATCACAAGTTATCAAGAAAATAGATTATTATCAAGAAAATAGATTATGTCCAGATTCTTGAGCATAAGGTAGTCCGGAGCCAGGTTTTGGGTATTCACAGAGGAAAACAACACTGAAAAACATGGTGGGTTTATGTCCTTCTGCGATTTGAATCCTTTGTAACCTCCTTTTGTGAGACATTGCTTGTTGATTGGATATTTCTGGGATGCAAGGAGTGCTTCCATGGAACACCAGTCCACTGCATTTTGTGGTTATATTCATGCAGTGATAGGCACCCTAAGGAAGGCAGCTGTGCTTTGTCTGTTCACTCTGTAGTTGCCAACTTCAACTTGTCTGGAAAAAATAATGGGATCTTTCCGTTCATGGCACCCTTGGTGATATATGAAAGGCAGTAACAGCAGTTCCCAGGGATAATTGCAGCACCGCCTGACTGTCTCCTGCTGCTTTAGGAACTGTGTTTGCTCCCCAGATTGTGGTGATTACTGAAGGAGTTTGCATGTGAGAGGGAAAAATGAGCTGTTACAAACAGGGACAACTGAGCCTCAATGCTGTCTTAGAAGAGAATGAGATAAACACATCTTGGAAACAGTGCAATTTGACAAGAGGCTTTCTGGGAGTGTGTTTGAAAAAAACAATGGGCATTGATTTCATTGCTGTCTCTTCTCAGATTGACTAGGGGTTTTTAAGATGATAGAGAAGTGTGTGTCTTTATACAATACCATTTTCATTTTTTAAAAGAGAGGTGGAAAAAAATGGTGGTTAGAATGACAGTGATTGACAACTCGCTTTTAAAATCTGAGGGATTGGAAGCACAGTCCTCTGAAATTGCACTTACCTATTAGCAGCAATTTAAGAATCCATTTTCAGCACGAGTGTTATATGTATAACCATCAGACTTAGTGGCTAGACTGCAAAGTTGGTCTTTCAGCTATGCTGTAATTCTTCCAGATTAGGGGACAGTGTGGTTTTTATGAATATGTAAACATGGTTTCATCCTTTAGTGTGGACTAAGAAGAAATAGGTCTGTGTAGCCTTGGACCTTTGCAGGGCTGTAGCATGATATGTGAACAGATTTTCACTTGTAAAGCAGTTAAAGAGAACTTTAAATCAAGGCCCTACCTTTCCTACAAGCCCTGGAGAAAATATGAGTGTGGAGGAGATCTGAGCTGGATTTCCCATCAGTGATGAGGGGTAAGTGTTGTATGCCAGCTGGAACCATGTTGCTCTGACTTCTGTGAAAACATTTTTTTTAGACCTGTTGGTCAGTGTCATGTAGAGCTGGTGAAATGCAAAGCATGCAGTAAAAGCTTCTACACACTTTGTCTTGGCAGCAGGATAATTCAGCCTTGCTAGCAACAAATTCATTCTGAGTCTGCAGGTGTATAATGCTGGAAGTCTTTGTTTTCCAGGTTTTTTGTTGAGAACTGAATCTGCCCTTTTCAGTCATTCCTGCTGTGCCATGTATGATTGTCTGATGTAAAACAGGAAGAGAGTAGTCTCCATAACACTTTCAGGACTGTGACTGGTGGATCAGAGACAAGAAATTCACAAGGAAAGTACCCAAAGGCTTTGGCAAACTAGGCAAGATGAGATAGGAAATACATACGGTCCTTTGCTTATATTTCTTCTTCTTTTCCTTCAGAGCAAAGAAACATTCAGAAGAACGTGAATTTCAATCTGTATTTGGGCACTAGAAGTCGAGTAGACATTTCTCATCCCTGGCCTGAGGCTACAGGATTTTATGTAAGCCCAGAGACAGCAGCAGAGGGCCAGCTGTGTACCACACCTCTGTCAGATGGGAAGAGATCCCAGTCTGAGACAGACTAATCTCTCCTGCCCTTCTCAGCTGTTCCTGGACACTGCCAGCCAGTTCTGCAGTTCCTGCTTGCTGCAGCAGAATAATCTGTGCTCTAGGCTGCAGCAGCACAGCTCTAAGTGTGTGTTTCAGAGAGTCCCCATCTTGCTTTGTCAGTGCTCCCTCCTGTGAATCTCCCCCAGAGGCACTTGCACCTTGAGGCTTGTGTTTTGGACAGGAGAAGGAGTGAGAGTATTGACTTTCCTTAACACCATCAGGAAGCAAAGGCAGCTGGTAGCTGCTGCATGCCCACTGCTCACCATCACTGTTCAGAAAGAAGGAACAAGAATTGTGACTATCTGGTGGAAAACCAACAGCATCAGCCTTCTGCTGCTTCTTGTATGGATCCTGTGAACCCTTCACTGGTCAATGCACATTTGTCATCCCATGCTGCAGATTCCCCTCTTGAGCATGAAGTGGTGGGTCCTTCTTTAAGGAGCTCAAGTAAAAGTGTGAACTCTTGTCACAGTTCAGCCCTGGGGAATCTCAATCCATCTAATTTGGAGTCTTTTCAGTGTCTTTTGCAATCCTCACAGATTTCTGCTAGCTTGTACTGTTCAGTCCAGAGGCTTAAGCAAGAAACTGCTTTGATGGGGCTACGGGCTTCCCTCCCTCTGGAGCCCAAGTCTTCTCCAGTCACTGGCCATTCATGCTTTGCTCCTGATAATTTAGGTCCCAGTATCGTGACCATGGGAGAACAGCTAGCTGCAGTAAAAACCAGTGCTGCTCAGGCAAGATTGAAATGGGGTGTCCCATTTGCTAAAGACTGGAGCCTTAGTGCAATGACAAGGAACCTCAGTCCTGCTGAGCCTTTCTCTGTCTCTCACAGATATGGTTACATTGGCTCAAACACATGGAGAACCAACATTTCAGGTGGCATCCAACCACAAACCCTTGCTTCTGGAGTGGGCTCTGGCAGGCTAGTGGATACAGAAGCAGATTCTTCCTTCAGTTGCTCCCCGTTCTTCAGATGCCAGTCCCTGGTAAAGCCATCTCTGGAAACTGGAAGTCTTTATGTTCAAAGAAAAAGCCATTCTCCTGGAAAGGTTGTCAAAGGAGAACAGACATCTAATGGGGCATCTCCATGTGTTGAGTCTTGTAAGAAAGACGTTTCAGCCAGACCAGATCCAGAGGGTCTGCAGGTGTTACTGGAGACAGATTTGGGGGGGGCTCAGATGAATGTTGGTGTAGCCATGTGTGGGACTCCTACAGAAGTGTGTGTGAGCATCACTTCTCATCCTGGAGATAAAGAGCTTAGACCAGGCCAGCAGCTTAGTGTTAAATCTGTAGAAGTCAACAAGTCTCATATTAAGTGCAGCAAAGAGCCAGAAGAGGTGTGTGACTCCAGATCACGAGCAGCCAGAAGAATGGCTGCAGTGGGCAGCAGCTACTCCAATCCTTTGGGTACACCAGCTGAAGAAAGCTTTAATGAACATTCTGGTGTAGATTGTATGAACATGAGCAGAGAAGAAAGGAGAAACAAATACTCCTACCAAAGCAGCCGGAGGAATTTGGAAGCTGATGGCAATCTCGAGCAGTCTGAAGAATGTTCTGTAGAAAGGAATGCCAAAGAACCACGGTGCTGTGAAGAAGGGAGCAAGACACAGAAAACTGTGCCCAGAGAGGTGAGGGTGTGCTCACTGTGAAGCATCTCTGTTCACAGGTATTACTTGTGCTTGCTTCTGCCACTTGATAGAGGTGCAGAGTTGAGGTACAAGTGATGGTGATGCTTGTCCCTTGTATAGTTTTTTTTTCTCACTGAGTGGCCAGAATCTCGCCTCTTACAGTCCTTCTTCATCCCAACATATGCCTCTTTCCATCTCTTATGCTTCTTCCTAAAGACCAGCTTGTCAACTTGGTTGTTTTGGGAATGTAAACCCTGTTTATATTCTCTGATCTGCATGCCGAGGGAAAGCATTGAACTGGTTTTTACTCTGCACATTGTTGCAGGGCCCTGAGATTTCAGGCTTTTTGTGCCTTTTCATGTCTGAAGTATATAATAATATTCACACAGCAGTGGTGTGGGAGCAGTGTCCAAGGCATCCCACATAATACACGACCTTGAGGCAGTCCTGCTCTGATCTCCATCCAAAATGATGTGTGCCACAAAATCAAATTCTTCAACAGAGTGGAGCGGTGTGAATAACTGTGAATTACTGTCTCTTGTCTGTTTGCAGATCTCAGAAAACAGCTCCTGGTCATTGAAGGTGAATGAGCAAAGGTAAAAAGACTCTGTGTTTAAGTATGGGTGTGATGGTAGTTAACAGAAGAGCACTTCTGGAAAGAGGCTAAGGAGCCATGTGCCTAGGAACATTTGGGTTTAGGACTTAGCCTACATTAATCTGCTGTGCTTGGCTGAGGAGCTGCATCCACTTCTTTTCAGAGAGTTGTCATTTGGAATGGAACATAATCTAAAAAATTATTTTTGTATCTTTTCAATGCTATCTTCTAAATTCAGCCTTGGTTGTTGCTGGCAATGAAGAATTGCTGGTACCATCAGTGTTCTTCAATGCAGCAAATTCCAGTGTGCTCACTGCACAGAGAAGGTCAAGAGCTAGACTTACCCATGAGGTGGAATTCAAATTTGTGGATAAGACATGAATGAGCTTGCTACCAGTTTAGCAACAGTGATTCCTAAATTTGGTGTGAGATTTCATGTTTTCCATTCTTTAGAGAGAATGTTTTGAAATAACCTTTTTACAGCTTGATGGCTGAACTCTGATTGCCACCTCCTGGATGGTTTAACTTTCCTTTCTGTTAACAGGAACTCACCTCTGGTTTTTGTTTTTAAGTTTCTGGCACTTGTGTGACAAACAAATCCTAACAAGGTGTTTCCAAGCCTGGAGGAGACATATCCTTTGGAAGAGGGCAGCCAGGCAGCTTTACAGACACCAGCTGCTTCAGAAGGGCTTTGGTGCTCTGCAGTGGACTGTGCACCAAAGGAGGACACAATTGGAGGTGGCCCAGCAGAGATATGCTTCAACTCTGCTAGCTGCCAGCTTCCAGAAGGTGAGCACTGGCTGGGGACAGTGCTGTGAACTTTCTGTTGTGCAGTCAGACAGGGCACAAATCCTGTTTGGATAGGGAGGAGGAAGGGGTACCCTGTGTGAAATTCAATGATGTAAACCCTGGTACCAATACTCTGCCTGCAGTTTGTTCTAATCATGTGGTTTCTTCTTCAGTGGAAAGAAGCTGTGGCAAAACAGAGCAAGAAGAAAGCTCTGCAGCCTGAGCCTTACTCCTTTACCCAAAGTTCATCAGCAGGGATTTTTGGAGTAGGAAGATCAGCAACTATGACAACTTCAGCTCAGCATCAGCTTGGAACAGGATACTCAAAGGAAGCAGAGCAGGCTCGTAGGTAAGCAGAGAGCATTCTCTTTCTGTTATCTTGGACAAAGGGAGGTTTACAAACACAGGGAATTTTTTTTCTCAAATGATGGCAGACTTGTTTCCATGTCCTTGGATTTATTGCTGTGCACAAATGCTGCAAGAATTAGTAGTTTAGTGTCAAGAACTAAACAATCCTATTTCAGAGCTCTGTGCATCAGTGTTTGCAATCTGATTTGAGTGTCTGACAGAAATACTCCTGTACTAATTCTTGGCTTCAGCTATCACCTGCATATGTGATACAGGTGTAAATGAGTTTGGAGTGAGGCAATACTACAGTGTCTAGCAGTAGTTTGACAGTAGAGGTGTCAAAAGAAAAGCCTTTTGTTGAGACTTCTAATTCTGAAGGTAGAAGGACAAAAAGAGAGAGGAAAGCCCTGGATTCTGCTCTGTGGACAGGTGGATGTTAAGGCATGCTGGTGGCTCTTTCAGGGTGGAGGGAGAGCTGTGGACACAGCTTTGTCATAGGCAGAGAGCAGCTGAGTTTTGCTGGAGAGCAGAAGCAATCAGAGACATGAGACGCCTGGCTGGTAAGCACACATTCCATAGCCTTGGAACAGCTTGGAGGTATTCACTGTTTCACCAGTTTTTGTGGTTTGTGTCTAGTTGTTGCTTTGAGCTCTTTCAGAATGTGATCTTGCAAGTAGCTGGGCCAGTATCTGTGATGGTGGAGGATGGCCACTCACCATGTCATACAAGTTTTCCCTCATTCCTTGTATTAATTCAGCTGCAGCATGTGTCACTCCAGCAATGTGAGCTGCCTTCCTTAAGTGTCCTTCCTCTGGCAGCTTGGAGTAAAGCCAGGGAATGTTTGCTGTGTGACACTAAGCTGTTTGAAGATCTTCTGTTATTTCTCTTCTGTCAATCTCTTCCTGCCCTGTGACACAGCAGCTTTCAGACTGTGGCGCCTGCAGAAGGAGCTGCTGAGCAAAGAGGAAGCCAGGCTTTTGGAAGCCCGTGCTCTGCTGGAAAAAAAGAAGCTACGAAACATTTTCTGGATGTGGCATTCCCAAAGCTTGGAAATGAAACAGATTCTAACACTGACAGCTCAAATCGAAAGGAACTTGGTCTCCCGGTGAGTTGATGAGAGTTTTCATGTGAAAAATCTGTTTGCTGTGAAAGTCCAAAAAATAACAGAGCCAACCCAGACAGTAGTAGTTGTTCCATCTTAAAGACATCTATCCTTTTGTTTTAGGAGTTAATAAAGATGAAAATAGGGGTAAAAATATAAAAAGGAACTGCTGTGGCCAGAAATGTTACGACTTACCTCCTGTGCACTGCCAAAACTTTTTTGTCCCAACTTTTGATGTCCTGAAATACCAAACCCAAGAGCCACTGTGCTGCTGTGCTCTAAGCATGACAGTGGCTTTTTACTGGAATGAACAAATAGAAGCTCATGGGACAGCTTCTGCCTGGCTCTCCTGGACTAAACCCAGCCTCAGGAAGACACATAAGCTTGTGTAAGTGTTTTTCATCATTTTCCTTTGGTATTCTCAGGTGCTTCTGTACATGGAAGGAGACTGTTGAGCAGAAGGCACTTGACAGGTGCAACCTGGCCCATCTCAGAGCAGTATCACTGAGGAAGCACTTCCAGCAGTGGATTGAGATGCTGCAGGTCAGAGGAGGTGATAAGCAGGCAGTGGTGAACCTCTTCCTGCTACGATGGAGGCAGCATTATGGTGAGCAGTTTGGGGTCTGTGCAGAATCTAAACTTTAGAGGTGCTTAGGCTCCTTCCTCTTCTTGTACACTGAAAACAGCCTGAAAACAGAGGGGCTCAGATGATACAGATATGAACAAACCAGAGTGGGCAGAGGACTGCTTCTGGGTATGTCAGTGAACGTACAGGGAGGTTTGTCACTCTGTTTCATAAACCAAACATAAACTCTTAAACCTTGCTGAAAAGAAACAGTTTGAGGGTTGGGCTGGGCTGAGTTGGAATGCCTGCAGATAATCTCTTGTTCCTTTATGTAACTGGTTAAGGAGCAGTTATAAGCTCAGTAGCTGACGAGACTGTGACAAAGAGGCATGAAGGTGAGACATCATGGACTGGAGAGAGACAGTTTCTGGAGAAAACAGTCTACTCTTTTGATGACTTCTGCCAAAAACTGAAGCTGCAGAGAGTATATCTGCTGTGGAAAACAAGGCTGTGTGAGCATCACAAAGCTGAGTGAGTGCAGAAGAGCCAGTCCCTGGAGTCCTGCCCCCATTAGTAGTGTCCACTTGACTTTCTGAACCTTTTGCAAGAACCCCTTTTACCCTATCTATTGTCCATCATGTCTGTGCTACTCACCCCCCCCTCTGGTGTTCTTCTGTCACTTTACTGTCTCAGTATCTTCTGTCTCAGTTCTTTCTCTCAGACTTTGGAGCAGTGTAAACTCAGAAAAACTTTGAAATTATGGCACCAAAAGTATCTCATGCTGAAGACAATTGAACAAAGTTCTACGCACTTGCATAGAGCTGTCTATGAGGAACCTCTTGCCATACTGTTTTCTGAGGATCTCTCAACATCATCTGGCTTTGGCAGCAGTGCACCAGCTACTCTGGCCTCTCAAAGCTCATTGGAAAAGGTGAGAAGGTCTTGGTACACCCAGACTGCTCTGAGGTATTAAATTGCTGGTATTTTTCAGGGGAAAATTTCTTCTTCAATATGATATTGTCATCAGCAAACTGTGCTTAAAATTTAGTGCTGAATCTGTGGGGTCCTGATGCTGAAATGAAATCTGAAAGTGTAAAGTCAGTGCTCTCTGTGCCTTTTCTGGTTCATCATTTAGAGATGTGGGAAGGTGCTGAGCTAGTGAGGTTCCCTTGTACACTTGCTTCCATTTGTGGCTGCAAGGTGGAAAGGATGAGATATAAAAACCTTCCTCCCCGAGACAGCCCATTTCCCCTTTTCTCAGTATAGAAATACATGTATTTCTGGATTCAGTATGGAAATTATTAGTATAGAAATAACTTTCCCATCACTTACATGTTTGCTCTCCAGAGGTATCATGGCTAGCCTGCAGTTCCTAGGGATGCTTTCTGGATTTGCCTGAATCCTCAATAAAAAAAGGAGAAAATGGCATGGTCAGAGCTGTTAGCTGAGTTCTTGCACCGAGAGGACACTCACCTCACAGCATCTTCCTCCCTTCATACCTGCAGGAATGCAGTCTTAGTGAGAGCAGCCAGCACGGCTTCTCCTTTCTGACTGCTGAGGATGTCACACACATCTCATGTCATGGCTCTTTCCTGCACCTCCACCAGTGCACAGAGCTGCCAGCTGAGCTGGGTGGGGAGCTGTGCTTGCAGACCTCCTTCCCTGGATCTGGGTGAGTTGGAGACTGTTTTTTTGGGATGCTGGTAGGAGTGACCCCTTGTTTGGACTGGCTGAATTCCTTCTGTCTGAATAATCTCTCATGTCATGTCACACCATCCTTCCAGGGGACTTGATCTTCTTTCTTTCCCTCATCACTCAACCCTTTTGTCTTGCAGAAGAAATAGGTTTGTGGAAAATCAGTTCCAGTCTTTGGTGCTGCAGAGTCCAGATAATAATTCCCAGCCTCTCACCAGTTACTCTGCATGGGAAGAGGTGAGACTAGAAAGTGCTGTGTAAAATGTAAATATACAAGTGTTTTCTGCATATTCAAATTTAGCAAAGAGCCTTTGGATTTCAATATCAGCATATGGAAGGTCTCACTGCTATTTTATCTCTTTTGTTCTCTCTCAAAGAGAAGATTTGGGAGATTGAGCCTTTTCTCAGTGTAACTCTTCCTCACCATTTGTCAGTTGAGTGGAAGTAGGGCAGATGTCAAGGATTTAAAAGTGATGTGTTAGACCCTCATGTCTGGGTGTTCATGTGGGGTGTGTGGGTTAGCAACAGAGCTGGGAAATCACAGAAGTCACAGTGGCACTGAATGTGACTCTGAGGCAGCTGAGCTGTGTGGAATAACTGACACTACAGCAGTTCAAGGCCCTTTCTTGCCTTTCTGGATTACAGGGCTGCAGTTCTGACAAGGAGGTGAAGAGTTGCTGGCAGCAAGCAGAGAAATACTGCCTGCAGAGGTGCTTCCTTGTCTGGTCAGCTCAAACTCGACATCATGTGAAGGCCCAGCAGTACCGCAGGCACATTCAGCTGTCTCGGTAGGGATCATGCTTTCCAGAAGTTTCTTAAAGCTCTCTGTTTTGAAAGCTTTACACTTGCTTTAATAAAAAAAAAAGGAAAATAATTCTTCCTCTAGCTTTTTTTGTCTTCAGTGGGAGTTTTGCAGCCCATTATTTTGGGGTTTTTCCAGCTTCACAATTGTTATGTAGGAATACAATAATTTCTGGTTTGATGGGATGCCTCACAAATTAGAGCAAGCCCAGCTCAGCTGATAACAAGTCGTGGTAACTTCCTATCCACTGAACTGGCCTTGCTCTCTACTGATTCTAGAGCTGAAGAGCACAAACAGGCTTGGCACAGCCAAGACAGAACACTTTACTCCCAGCAGCTTGTCCCTGTCCATCATTTCCCCTGACATTTCATGGGGAAAGGATGTTAACAGATCAGATGTGTTTCCAAAATTCCCTCGTGTGTATGTTTGTTGCTAAATATTCCATTACAAAGGTGTGTATCTCTGTGAGCTGTTCCTGCAGTCAGTGCATCAACCTTTGTTCTTCTCAGAGCCTTTCACAGCTGGCACCACTGGGTCATGGAAAATAAGAACCAAAAAGCAGCAGCAGCCCTAAAACACAGAGTTCATTGTTCCCAGATGGCTTTCAGCCTGTGGAAAACGAGACTGGCCCAGAAAGTGGAAGCTGACCGGAGATTCAGGTGTCACATTCACCAGATGACTGCTGATGCTCTGTGGCATTGGCATTCTTGCTGGCAAAGTGAGTTACCCCATCCCACTGCATCACTTGTGTCTGTGGAAGAGAGAAGCTTTGGCAATGGTTGGGATGGAGAAAGTCACGCTTTTGGCTGTAATTCTGTGCACTGCTCTTGTGGAAAGGCACATACTACTCCAGGAGTCAGTAGGTGCATGTGTCACTGCATTCTTCTGGCCGTCAGCAGGACATGTGCCCTGCTCCTTTGTAGTGCTTTATATTAGGGAAGATGCTCCTTTGGCATTACCAAAAGAGTGTTCAAGCAGTGTATTTTAGCAGCTGAGGAGTTAAATGGAGTTCCATGCAGCATTCCAAGTTTGAACATGTCTCCTCAGCCCAAGCAGCATGTTTTGCTTCAGTGGGAACAGGGTGTGTCTTTTGGGTTGGCTTAACAATCCTTATCCCTCAAGAAATTCCATATGCTCTAAGTACTTATGCTGTGCCAGGCAAGAAAAACTCACAATTTTTAATGGAAAACTGCCTTGCAGATAACAGTGGAAGTAATCTGTGATGTCTTGAAGGGAAAATTTGAAAGAGGGTCTGACTACCTTCCAGACAAAAAACTACAAGGTGAATTGAAAAGTCTCTTTAGCTACTGAAGAGGGGACAAGAAATCTTAGCAAGTTTGGTCCCATTTGGTGTTCACAGCAGATGTGTTCTTTGCTCTTGTCTGGACTCTGCAATGGGAAATCATTGGGCTGAGCTCAGGAAGCTGTGCTGTCTTGCAGGGAAGCATGCTCTGAGAGAACTGGAGCAGCAATGGGCTTGGCACAGCTGCCAGGAGAAGAAGAGGCTGGTCCTGCAGATATGGTATTGCCAAACAAGGAAGCAGAAATACGCTGTTTTATTCTGGGAACGTTTTCTCCTGCACAGGTTTGTTTCTTGCTCTCAAAGCATTTCCAAGGGAAGCACTGCGTGAAAAGCAATTTATGTAGTAGTATCCACTGTATTAAGAGCAGAGTTTGGGTTTGAAAGTGTGAATAGCTCATGCATAAATGGAGATGCGTCTATATTAAGGGCTTTCTTACCTAAAGCCTCACACCCCACCTCATTTTTCCCATTTAAAAATTATTTTCCTTCCAGAACTTGTATTCAGTCTTAGTTACACAGAGTGGTATTTGTGCACTAAGTGAGGGAGAGATGCAAACAAATTTGTGTAGTTTAAAAATTGAAAGCCTCATTTGCACTTCAGTATTTGCTGCAAGGAGTAGTGGGCAGAGATCTTACAGAGCTCTGATGTTTACAAATCTGAGTCTTTTAGGATTGTGGACACAGTGTGTTGATTTTAATTTAATGTGAAAAATTGAGTTCAATTTGTTCCTGCAGCAAAGCAGTATAAAGCTTATGGAGGGAGAACCATGATGTTCAACTCATCTTGGTTTTATTACAATATAGGAGAAGTTGTAGTCTGTCTTTGAGTCATATATTGCAGGTCCCCAAAAGACAAGAATTTCATTTATTTTCTCTCTTAATTGTGTTCAGTGGCCTTCTCATTGAAAACAGTTTTGTTTGTGCTTTATGTTGTATGAAGCTGGTGCCTGCCTGAAGTGCAGAGAAGTGTCCAGCTATAGTGAACCAGGATTGCTGAAGTGTTTCTCTGAAATAATTCAGGAGGATAAGAATGAATAAGATTATTTATGCTAAGGGTTCATTTAAGGCATGAGAATTGCAGGTTTGGCTCTAGTAGGTTTTCTTTTGAATTGCAGATTCAGACTGAGAGGACACAAAGATCTGCAGAGGAAAAAGCAACTAAAAATCCAGTAAAATTTTGGTGGCTGTGGTGTTTAGACTCTTCACTTACCCCACCCAATTGCATTCTCCTCTGCAAGTCCATCTGTATGGCTCCCTCGTGGGAATTGTATTTGGGAGAAACCCTTAATGTTGCTCCTTCCTGTTGAGTATGTCTCCATCATTAATCTTCCTTCTGAGTCTCCTTTGATGACAGAGTGCTTCTTATTTCTCACCTGGATATGGTACAGGCTGAGCTCTGTCTCTTCTGAGGGGGGCATTTTTCATGCTAGGATAACCTGCAATAGCTTCTCTTGATCTTCCATAAAGCTTGCCAGGCACAGGATATTTACACCTCTACCCTATGGTGCAGTGGGATGATTTGCATAATGAAAATGGAAAAAGGAACCAAAAGGATAAGCCAGGAGTTAAAAGCAGATTGGATTCTCTGGTTGCAGAGGAAGACTGGCCTCCTGTGTGTCAGCCTGCAAGATACAGAGAGATCATTGTGGGTGCAGATTTACAGTGCTGGTAATACTTAGGTCCCGAAGTTGTTGATTTTTTGGAATAAAATTGTCTTCATCAAGATTCTAGTTGTACATCCCACATACACAGGGCCTTAGTTTGTGACAGCCAAGAAACAAAATCTGAATCTTGACAACAAGCGGCTGTCATAAATTCTGCAAGCCAGGAATCTGCTGGGTTCCATGCTGAAGGAGATTTTAGCAGTTTTACTCTTATCCCATAATGAAAAAGAAAATAGAAGCCTTCATCAAGCACCATCTTTCTGGTCAGCTGGTAGCACAGAGGTAGATTGAAGACTGACTAATTATTTCCTTTTTTTTTGTGAGGGCATCCAGTATGTGTACTGGCAAGGCAGCCTAGGAAAAGCATTTGTTTTGTAGGCAAAGAAAAAACATACTACAAGATTGGATTCAGTTTGCAGAGGCCTTTGGAGAGGAGGAAATGCTAAAATGGCCAGAGTGAAGCAGAGTCTCTTGGGCTTTGAGTAGGTGAGAGGTAACAGTGCTGGGAACCTGAAGTAAAATGAGGGCAGGTTTTCTGCAGGATAGTTGAAGAGTCTGAACTTGGACCTCCCAAAGATGAGGATCTGGAAAAATACATAGCATGGAGATCAATGCATAAATCTTGATTGCAGAAGGAATAATAGGAGCAGGCTTTTTTCTTGTTGAATGCTCTTTGGCTTGCTTTGACCATCTATGAGGGACACTGCAGGGTAGGTGAGAAGGTGAAATTAGGCCTGTTACTTTATGTATCTGCTTCTTTTCTGTGCTTTTAACTGTTTTTCAGGTGCATTGTCACTTGGGCCCAGGTCACTGCAGGTAGACTGAAGCAGCGTGAAGCTCTCTCTTACTTTAGAAGAGTCAGAGAGCACCGTCTTCTGGTTGTGAGCTTTACTAAGTGGAGGGACAAACTCTTTAGAGCTGAACAAGTGCCAGGAGAGAGAAACCACAAGTGGCAGGAGCCCTCTCCAGGTAAAGCCTGTCACCGCTGGCGAGTGGCTGCAAGAGGACAGCAAGCCCTGCGCCTGGGATCCGTGGCTACTGTCAAACAAGTAAGAAAAGATATAGGTCCCTATGAGACAGTTATTATTAACTCAGTGAGTCACAAGGCACTGAGATAGTGTGACAAGGCTTGTATAAAAACCTGGTTTGATTTGTGGTGACTGCTTAGTTCCTGCTGTGAAATTCTTCACAGACTGTGCACACAACTTCATCACCATAATCTGGCACTGATTGCAACAACCATATGGAGCACAGCAATAAGGAAAGGGGACATTTTGACCAGAGAGATGAGAGCACTCCTTCCTCTCTGCTCAAAGATAAGATAGGATAATCACTGTCCCTGCAGAGCAGAGTGAGCTGTCAGAGTTGCAGCTTTTTTCAAAAGATTCACAGCTAGCAAACTACAAAGAGGTCGATTGATTTGGAAGGGCTGAGTCAGTCCTGCTGAGATCTCATCTGTGCAGTTTCCAGCCTGGGGTCTAGCACATTAAGCTACCTGCAGAGCTGTGAGCCTGTCTCTCTAAGACTGGTTTGTGTGAGTGCTGTGTGCATTGTGTTTACTCTTGGCTGCAGCTGTGTTATTTCTGTTTGCAGGCCTGCAACTACTGGACAAGAGCAGCTGCCTTTTCCCAGTGCTTACGGCAGCGCAGTACCCTCATAGGTGTTAGGAAAAGCAGGAAGATGTCTCTCTCTTGGCCCACGAGTAAGAGGATTCTCCCTCCTCTCTTCCTTTCACAGACCCATGTGGGGAGTGTGGGTGATGAGGGAAGGGGATTAGGGTTTACCAGCTTAATGACTGGGATTCCTCTGTGGAATAGGAGCTCATGGCAATCAAACACAGTGGATTTCTTCTGTGTTCATGAGTTGAAGGACTAAGCTCATGGCAGCTCTGATGTCTCCCTCTCTAGCTCCAAGGTTAGCTCCTGTGTGATTCCTCTTTTGTTTCTTAGAAAGCAGAAGAGGCAGAGAAGAAGATTCAGCACCAACTGGACTTTTCCCCAGTGCCATTCAGCGCTGGCTGGTGATCTACAGGAGCCAAAAGAGGCCTGGAAGGCTGCTGGAGAGACCTGATGTGGTAGGACCCTCTTGTGCACATGGCAGGATCCAGGGGAACGCAGCAGAGGTGGACTTGGAGGATTGGGCTAAGAGGTGTCTTGGGTAAGTGAAGTGGAGGGCTCTGAGCTTCCTCATGCTGATACCATCAGGGAAGGGCTCCCTTGTATGGCTGGTAAAACTCATTTGCTTCATTTGCCTGCAGGAGGAAATATCTGAGGTGGTGGCATCACACAGTGGTACTGCACCAGTACCACCATGACAGGAAACTGCTCTGTCTGGCAAGGGGATGGCATCAGTGGAGGGAAGCCAGCAGGGTGGTGATACTGGCTCAGGTGTTGGTGAGTGTCTGGGGCCACTGGGGTGGCAGTGATGGGTGTTAATGGGCAAGCCTGCTCTGCCTGTAGCCCCACATACATCCTAGGAGATGAGACCTGGGGGTTTAACAAATAAAATCCTGGTTTAGTGCTGTGGCTAGTTTTTCCATTGTTCTTTTTGAAATGTCAGCTTGACAAACTGGCATATCCACAGATTTAGCTGTGCTTTGCCCTTACAGATGGGAAGCTGAAACAGGATTTGTCTAGATTGTCTGTAGACTGTGGAAAAAGTTCACAGCAATTATTACAATCTTTGTCCTCATCTATGTGCCTGATACATCCCACTGGTGTCCACATCTTACCAAGAGCTGTCATTTTTACTTTCCTTTCTGCTCATACTCATGTTCTGCCTGGTTCCTGGGCATTAGCTGTGTGAGATGTGCTCTGGCCTGCCCTGGTAACAAGACAATGCCTGTATTGTGTGAGGATATCTGTAGTCACAGAGGAGCTGTGCTGGAACAGAGTGGGGCACTGTCCTCTCTCCAGGGTACTGGGACTTAGCCACACTGTGCTGGAGAGAGTAGTTCAGCAAGAGCTCTGTTACCAGTGCAAAATCTTTTAAGAGGGACTCAGGAAAGCAACTGGAACAAGGTGGGACTGGAGGGAAGTGAGGTTGTTTGCCTGCCAGAACCCAGTTAATCTGTGTGCTGCCTCTGTTCCTGGCAGGACCAGCAGCGGCTGATAGAAAAGGCCTGGAGGGCGTGGAGACGAAGATATTTGCAAAGCTGTGTGGTGCAGAATCTTTTGGAGGAGGAAGCCAGGAGCCTGTTGTGTCAGGTAAGCATTTATGCCTTCTTCAATTCAGTGGTACAAAAAAGCACCCCCAAGGGACAACTGGTGCCCCCTGTATCTCTCTCCCTGCACAATGCACTTGCTTAGGGAGAAGTTGAATACATCAAGGAATGGGACTTGCCAGTAAAAAAGGAAAAAAGCTTCCAGCTTTACATGGGTTCATCTATGGCTGTTTTTCAAAGCTTTGTGTCAGGAGTCAATTTCCCTGACATGTGCCCCCTTCTCTGCTGTTATTAGTGATGTTAATCCCCTAATCCCTGTCTCTTGAGACTCCATTCAGGGGAGAAACAGGCTCCACATTGGTGCAGGAGGACTGTGCTGACTTGCACCCAGGGGCAAGCGAATCACTATGAATTTGAGCAAGCAGGCAAAGCCTTAGAACTCATACCCAGTTTGCTCCCCTGCCTGCCTCCCAAAGATTCATGTAGGATTAGGTCCTGCTTTAAGGAGGTACTGAAATTAGAGGGTCTTTCTGGTCTTTCTTCTCCCACATTGATTTGTACTCTGCATGCCCCAATTGGCTCCAGGAGAGACAGGGAAGGGTTTTGATTGAAGGGTGAGGCAGCTGGCAGAGCCATAGCTAGAAGGAAAGCTATGTTTACAGGTTCTGTGAGAATGGCTGCAGCCCCTCAGGGGTAACCCAAGTGTTTGATTTGTCCACTTTCCTCTTTCAGGCCTTTGGAAGGTGGCGGCAGCTCACAGCATTCCAGCGCAAGGACAAAGGATCCTGCTGAATGGAGGGGGCCTGCCTGCAGCTGCTGCTCATTTCAGAACACGTGGAGGATATGGCTCCTGTCACAACAAAGAGCTGGTCCTGTGCCATCAAGAGAGAGAACACTCTGCTCTTACAATAAAAGCAGCACTGCTGGCCAGAAGGGTGACAGCCAAAGAACAACCAGGAAGAGATGGTACCTAGTGAAAGGTCCTCTTGAAAGGATTTCTATCTGCTTAGCAGCACAAATGGAAAAGTTACTCACAGTTGTGAGGTTGCATTCTCTTCTTCTCTGGACCCTGCTTTTGCTGGAGTTTTGATTAAAGGTCAAAAAAACCCACCTTATAGATGTTCCTTTTACTCAGTGTTTTTCTTCCCCTGGACAAGAGTTTGGTGTCAAGGGGGAGTATGCAAATATAGTCTTAGAGATGAGCAGGAGTTTGTGGGTGCTGGATCCAAACTGATCCAAATTGATTCCAAAGTCAGCACCTGAGTAGGTGCAAACACAGGTCTTTATTTTTATTATTTTTAGATTTGGCTTTTACCCTGGTGGGGGTGGGGGCAGATTTCCACCAGGCACCCACCTCCTCCCCCTGTCTAGGTCCATCAGCTCTTCATTAAGCTTTTCAGTGGGTGGCCAACCTCCTGACTGCTTCCTGCTGGTTCATTTCTGTGCTGAATGGGCAAGGTATGAAGAAACCTGCTGGGAACAGCTGAGCACCAAAAGCGTTGCTGAGGCAAGACAGGCGTGTCTGATTCCCAGCCTTCCCATTACTTGCCTCTGTGATTGATGCCTTGTAATTACCCTGGATATATGAGCCCGGTCTCAGACAGCTGTAACAAGAGGGTCTGAAGAATCTGGACAAGGCTTTTCTTCCTTCTTGTTTGAAAGAGATGCTCACAGCATGGTGGGGATCTTGAAATCCCACTGGGAACTGCTCCGGGGTCATTTTCCTAGCCTGTGGCAGCTTTGCAGGATTGTTAAGTACACAAAGCAGTCTCAGTAGCTTTCCCAACCCCTTATTCCAATGCCATGGGGCCTAAGGCTGTTAAGAGTCATTAGGTCAGGAAAGAGAGGTTATCTTTCCTGATCTAAGCTTATCTTTCCCTACAGGCACGGGAAAAGAATACATGACTTTGCAGAATTGAGCTAAATAGCCTAGCTGTTTACTTTTGGTAAATTCTAGGATTTAAGCTTCCTCTACTCTACCATGGAGCTTGGGCCATACTCAGAATATGCACTGAAAGTGAGGGCAGAACTGCCCCAGAAACAAAATCAATTCCCTTGTGCCAGGTGATTAATTAGTAATCAACACCAGTCTCTGCTAAAGCACGCCCTAGTACAAGAGACATTTGTATTTTATTGTATATAATCTAGGAAATAGTGTCATTCCTACTTAGTCTTATCCAGAATGGGAATTCCCATAGTCCTATTAAAAAGAAAACAGAAAATACAATACAAGGAGAAAAGTTAGGAAGAAAATTTGAACCTTCGTCTGGAGTGAGTGCAAATGTGCCATATGATCAACTATGAAGAAATACAGTTTAGGAGTGCAATATAAAAGCAATTTGACCTTCTTTTCCAGGTTGGTAACTGCTGATATAATCCCCTTGCATAGGTACAGCTGACAGGAGTGTTTCAGTCCCCCTGCCAGCATTTCTGGCATGGGAAAGTTACCAGAATCTGTTACTGTAATTGGCATAACCATGATTATTAGCAGCTCTTCATCCTGCAGACTCTGGCCTTTGGGCTTTAGTCTGGAGCCTGAGCTCAGAGGTTCAGGTAGTTCTGGCTATTGTTCAGTGAGAATGGCTCAGGGAGCCTTTGTGTTGGGGACAGAAGAGCACAGTGTGGGTGGATCAGAGCAGCACCCTGCTCATGGTTTAGGAGTGTGTCCATTGTCAGCACAGGAGCTGCTGCTTTCCCCGAAGTCAGTGGACAGAAGGAGGAAGAGATGAGAAGAATTTTCACTGCTGAGTTGGAGAGTTCAACAGCTCAAACGTATCCTCCACAACCTGCCAGAGGCAGTTCTCTAGTGGGAAGTCATTGTCCACCAGGTTGACCAAGTAATAGTTGTCATGGATGTACTGGATGATCATGCGAGAGGGTGACTCCTCTTCATAGAGCTTGGCCCATTGCTCGATCCACAGCGCAAAGGCCTCGTCCTGCCATGGGAACAAAAAAAAGATTTGTCACTTGTGAAACATCTCCATGTTACTTAATTTAAGATACCCAGTGTTACACATGTCTGGCTAAACTGTGGCTTGTTTCTTCTCAGTAAAAATGGCAAGAGTTGAGCAAGGAGCTTTGTACTTTCCAGTCAGTGGGAAGTACCCAGAGCTGAAAGGAGACACATTTGCAGTACAATGGATGGCTCAATGCTGCCCCTGTGTGTGTAAGAGGGGAGAAAGAGCCACTGTCCAGCACTCTGAGGCCTGGTGCAGTGACAGTAGTGGCTCCAGATCCCAACTACTGGGTGCTTTGTGTCTGGGAACAGCTCTTGCTGGAGCTGAAGCAGGAGGAGCAAGACCTGTACCTCTGCAAACCACTCCTCACAGCCCTCAGCTGTGAGGAGTGTCAGAAACTAAAACTAAACCAGACATTCTGAACTTCCAGGGCATCCCAGCAATGTATCCAACAGAAGGGAGGACTCACCTTCCAGGAGAGGAAGCTTACAGGATCCACCACAGTGGGCTGGATGATCTCCCTTCCTGGAAAGATACCCCAGGTGACAGCATTGGGTTGCAGATCTGGAGCATTGGTGATATTCTGGCCCTGCCAAAGGAAGGAAAACTTTTCTGAAGCAAGTGGAGGAGGGACTGAGTGAGTTGGAAAAAGTGTATTTGCCCCCTCCTTGTTAAGGGATCAGACAGCTGCTGCACACTGCAGCTGACCTGCTTTATTTTCCCTTCCCTTCTTCAGCCCTCATGTCTGAGTATTTGGTATATCTCTTTCCCAGGGTGGTGAAAGGCAAGTGTCCTGTGAATAACAGCTTTACCTTGACGTTGACAATGTGGTAGTTCACTCGCAACTCGTACTTCTTCAGCACTTTGAGCAGTGCCGTGACAATTTCGCTGGAGGTGAAGAACTCCAGGTACGCCTGCAGGGAGGGATGGAGAAGGGGGAAGAGAATCAGGGCCTTAAATCACAGCAGAACTGGACAAACACAGGTAAACTGTGACATTTGTAGAGTCTGGGCTGCTTTGTATGTTCATCCCCAGAGACATGTACTACAAAGGCTTGAGCAAAGGGCAGAGCAAATTAGTAAGTGAGCTAGGGAAAAAAATAACTGGGGAGAACAGCCCAGGAACAGAGCACTCAAGAAAGCTACACGCTTCCTGTTTTGCATCCACACAAGTAGACAAGTTGGAATGAACTCCAGTATTACCACAACTGCTGCACAAGGAAGCAGTCTGCCAGAATGCTTGGAAGAAACCTGAGCTTAATCTTTATTTTACAGCAGTGTCTTGCCAAGGCAGCCCAGCCTGGTGAGAGCAGAACTCGGGGGTCTCAGCTGGGCTCTCCCAAGCACCACTCCCTGTCCTCATCTTTTGTTCACAATTCTCCCCATGTGCTTATACAGCCAAATTCTGTGCTTGGCTGCTCCCAACAACTGCTTCCCCTCCCCCCATTTCCTGGCTATTTCATGAGATGATGGATTTCCCTCACCTCAGGGGAATTTTTTCCTTTGAAAACATAACTGCATTTGCCATCTGCTGGTCTCTGGCTTTACCGTTTGGATCCCTTTTGAACAAGGATGCTTTGTTATCCAGTATGAGTTACTTGCCTGACATCTACCTTGATGGGATATTCCTGTCACAGCCATTAGGCAAGGCTCTAGGGCCTGAAATACCTGACAGGGGAGACAGGCATGGCAGGCATGACTGTTTGCAGGCCAGGGAAGGAAAGGAACATTGTGTGAACAGCACAGTGCATGGGCCAGGGGTAACTGTAGAGAACTCTGCCATACAGAAGGACAGAGGAAGTTTTTAAATACCCCTTTGTCACCATGAACTTGCTGGGTGGTAGGGATACTGCCTCACTGATTCCCATTTTGTGAAAAACCTGGATGCTTTGTGCATCACTGAATCAGGGGGCAGGCACACGTATATATAAAATCTCACAGCCCTGCTCTAGAAATCAATTACCAATAATCACTTGCTGAGAATAACACTGAAATTCCACAGATGTTCAATAGATGTTTTGAGGTGGGGAAAAACAGCTGTGAAGTCAGCCATAGAGATGGAATTGTAGCTTTTAAGACAGCAAAGGAGCTTTGCCTTATCTCACCAAGAATGCATTAAGATAAGGCAAGGGCAGGATTATGTGGATGTAAGCCTGGGACCTCCCAGCCTAACACAAACCAAACTAGGTCAAACTTTGCTGCCTAGCCCAGAGTAATACAGTACCTTTTGGAAAACATAACCTCCACTGGGCCCCCAGCCTACAATGGGGTCTGTGGATGGTTTGCCATTGATGTTTGGCTGGGAGTTGATGGTCAGGATTCCTCGTCTGTTGACCTTCTCCAGTTGGTCCTTCAGAAGGTTGGTTTCAGTAGCAAGAGGGTCATCATTCCAAGGCATACATGTAACCTACCATGAGGAGAAAGGATGGCTCACAATGGATGTAACAACCCTTTGATTAACCATCTAGGTGTTGAAGGAATTCAGCAGTGCCTTAATAGGCTCAAACACACCTGCTTCAGGAGAGAATTCCCAAGTTTGGTTCAAGGATTAGGATATGCACAACTGTAAGAATGACTGCTGAAGTCAATCAATACTGGTCCTGTCATACTGTAGTACCCTTCCTTTTATGTTGAGCCTTAGCTCTGGCTGCTGGACCCCCTTCAACCTGTGTGCCAACAAATCCTTTTGGACAAAGTGCCAATTCTTCTTTAGAAGAACAATGTGGTACCAGGAGCAAGAGGAAATGTGCACTATTGCTTGTGCCACACTGGCCATCCTTTCCTGGGCTCTTACTCACCTTGTACCCATTCCTGTTGGGTTCTCCAGTGATGTAACAAGTGAACACCTCAAAGACACTTTCCTCACCAGTCAGTTCTTCTCCCCACATCTTCAGAAGCTCCTCCCGGGGAGACTTGCTCTTCAGGTAGAAGAGGTAATAGTCCTTCAGTTCCCCAAAAGCTGGAGAGGAGGAGTTACCCCTGTAAGGGTAGAAAACACACACCTGAAGTCACTGAGGAAGATGAGCTGATTTGGTGATGCAGG